CACACACACACACACACACACACACACACACACACACACACACACACACACACACCCTCCTTCCTGTCTTGCCATATGGTAGCCTTTCCCTGTCATGAGCTCTCTGAACTCACCAGCAGCACAAACAGCCTCTATATGACCAACACAAATCACGGGGAAAACAAACATAGACTGCATACAATGTTTATATTATATTATTTGGAAAAAAGATAAAGATTGTCACACATGAAAGAGTAATTAACATGTTACACCAGAGCCCTCTGCTAAAATGTGCTTCTGTACACAAGACAAATTGTTGCAAAGAGAAAATTTAAAGGCACCAAAGCTTGTCTGATTTCCCTTTGGCCACTTGGAGGCAGCAGAAACAAGCTGTGAAAACAACATACAGGTTATCACCTTTGCTACCTTTCCTACCAGTATAATCTCAACATTCAGCTGAACTAATATGTCTGTACTGATGAATTCAAGTATTCACCCTGTTCCCCCTCTATTTAAGTTAAATTTCTTCTGATTGGCTGCTCGGCACAAATAGAAGGTTTGAACAGCAAGTAGAAGAGGTTGTTGTGCTCACAGCCAGAGTTGTGTATATTAGGGATACCTGTACTCATTTGTGTAACACAAACCCAGGAGTTAAATAAAAAAAAAGTGATGAAAAACAAAGAAATAAAAACTCACGGTCTGAAAACATTTCTCTTATAGCTGGTGTCACAACGGATTCACACCAGTCTCTCCAGTTTCCTCAATAAAATTCAAGTGACTTGCTAAACTAAACCTTGTGTCCTTAAACACTTTCTCTCTTTCTGCCCTTTCTTATTTATGACCCACTTCAGAGTCCTCTCCTTTCCATCAATATATCTCTCCCACACATCCTCACCTTTCTCCTACTGCAGTCAGCTAAACGAACTCCTCTGTCTTTCATCTTCCCATTCCCCTTTTCCTTTTTTCACCATTAAGCTATGATCTAATCTAATTAATGATACAAAGAAAGATTTATCCAGTGGCCTTGAACTGTCCGGTTCACTAGCTGCCACGCAGAAACATCAAACTCTGACATCACTTCCTCATTCTCTCTCACACAATTGATACCACACAGCAATTTTACTGAAATGTGATGTAATCTCACAGAGGTGTTAAAATGCTTACTTCCCGGAAAGCTTAATGAAGTGCAATGTAGAACTTGTAAAGAACAGTAAGAAAATTATTAAAGTGGTTTTTTTTTTCCATATTAAAACAGATTGTGGAGCAACATTCTTGTGGTAACAAATGGAGGCATCTAGTGGTCCTAGTGACTCACTGCTGGTGTGTTCATAAACGTACCCAGTAGACTCTGTCTCATTAATACTTGCTGGAACATTTAGCCAAGTGGTATTTTGTGTGGGGAGTTTATTTTTATTTATTTTTTTAGCACACTAATTGGGTTTAAAGCCTTCCTGTCTGTTACCAAAGAGATGCCAAACTCAGATTTGACTGTGACTCATCGTGTCGCATTCAGATGAATGCAGCAGTTTCCAGCCATAAAACACAGCCCAACACAAACCGGCAGTATAATCTTGCTGCACATTTGCATTAGAGAGAATCAGGGAGCTATAAAGTGCTCATCTGATGAACGCAGCCTGCAGCAGGCTCACTTCCTGTTTCATAAAAGAAGACACATTATTTGTTGTAATGTCACAGGATTAGGTAAATCAAATCTAAAGAAATTCTAGAGAAAATATTTGTTTATTGTCACTGGTATGATGCTGACACTATACAGCAAGTTAAATAAACAGTCTGTAGTCAGCCTTCCAAGTTAAATTTGGAGCAAAAAAAGCAAAGGACGTCTGTTGAGAGATGAGCTTGCTGATCTCGCCATAGGAAATATTACGGAGCTTGTGAAACACTGAAATGTGCAGGGTCAAATGTGCTCTCTGACACTGCAATCCTGCGAGACCTTGCACCAAAAAAAGTGCAGGGTTCATAGACTAACTTGTCCATGAACACTGCACTTTATTTTGGTTTATAGCATCTGTTGCAAATCAGAGATGACTATTACCAGGCAGAGCAGGTTTAACGAATAAGGGCAGTATGAAATGTTTAAGACCAAGTATTTTTAGTGTTTGATCAACTGCATGAAATAAATAATAATTTTTGTACTTTGCAGCTCGGACTCATGTTTCACATCGGTTTTACTGAAATTCTACTAAAATGCTGAAGTACTTCCTGAATGATATGATGCTTCCCATTCCTAGAAAAAAAAAAACAGAGAAAAATTAGATTAAGTATAATATGTGAAATTTGGCAATAATTTGCTATTTGTTTAAAGTCAGGTTTTTTTTTTGTAGATTTACAGTACTGAGAGATCTGCTTATAAATAACTGATCTTTCAGTGCCAGTAGTCCTCGACTTGGTTATACTTTAACTTTTGCCTTCAGATAGTAATTTATTCCTAATCGAGTGGTCACTCGTTTCTCGGTTTGCCCTTCAGATATTCCGTTAAAATATTACCACTTGATGTAAATGACATTATTCACAGGAATTTACCCAGAAGACTTATTTTTAATGCTGTTTGTGACAGTAAATAGTGAGAAAAACACCTCCTCCCAGTTCCTGAGCAGCTATGTAAAAAAAACTTTAACACATCTGTGTCGCCTGGACTGGCGATATGAAAATGACAGCGGCAGTATTACCAAAATGAAAGTGTTATTCCACTCATAATCATTTAGACTAGGGAAAAAAATAAACCATTGCTAGTTGTCTGCCAGTGCTTGCAGAGGACCTCAGTTTTTTCATTCGTTTATGTGATGCTATATGGGAAATGAGCCT